GCATACAATTCAAATAAAACAATCAAACATTTCAAATTAAATGAAAAATAAACTACATAATAAATTGATAGCATGAGACAAATGACACTTCTCACCTGTATCGCCCCGCTGAGTTGTAATGACCGATGATGTTTGTGTGATTGTAGGACTCGTAGTTCCAATCGTGGATTCAAATGAGTCAGTCGCAGTGTAAAATTCTGCAAACGTAACAAGACATACTTTATTTACAGCATGATACATTACAAAATTATGCAGAAAGATACTCGTACTGATAAATAAACGGCAAGCTATTGTTATATTGAGAATATCACAAATCACTTGAACAATATCGAGGAAAAAATCTAGCATGTGAGGGGAGCCACACTTTCTGTTATCACCAAATACGCTACCATTCACCAGAAATACTATGAGTTACTCGTTCTCTTGGCATGTCACAAACAACTGCATGCTAGCGTATTGCATTTCTCGCACCACTGAGCTTCTATTGCAAATACTTTTCAGTCCAATATGACCCGTAACTGAGAAACAGCAATGAATTTATCTTTCCACGATATTAGGTGATTCATATTGAACAAAATACATGTTGAACAACAAAATTTGTTAATAATATTTGCAGATATGAAGTCATCAACAGCCAATTAATGGAGCCAGATGAATTGTTACCTGTTTCAGTCGTCTTTTTGTGAGGTGAAGTCAGTTCGGGTGTAGTTGATGGTACGTCTTTTGATGTCGATACAAATGGAATGCTCGTCGTTGAAATGGATTCTACAAATGAGAAAATGTACGAGTGTGTTTATCTGTAGTATAGAATGTGCAATGAGCAAATGACTACATATGATACTGCAGAATGAGTATTGATATTTGCAGCTAAACATAAAATATTATTATATGAGTCATAATGTAACAATTGTACACTGTTATTTGTCCAGATATTTCAATTTTTGATGCACTATTTTTTTTATAAATAAAGTATAACCAAATATGAAGCTAAACAGACTACCATAACTATTTTTTTCAACGTCACCCCCTGAGACACATTCCCAGTAATGGCGTTCTTTTCACAGTCTTTGGTTGTAGACACAAAAAGAACAATAAATATGTGAACTTCTTTCCTTCAGAACGTATGAACGGTACTTTCGTTATCGATAATACCAAACACATCAAAGGCATTCAGAGTGGTAATAATCATTAACGAAACATTGAAATTTTATTTTAATAAACGATTTACAGCTGAGTTCGCAAATTTTGCTCTGGGGTGAAAAGTCTTTAAATTTTCATGTACATGGACACCTACCCAAAACAATACAATATTTGAAATAATGTTGCTTGAATTGTTGTTTCCCTGATTGCAGATTGCAGTTCCTCGGTGGATTGACTTAAATATGGACTAATAGTTTCAAACACGTTTGTTGTGCTTATTTTTGTGGTGGAATGTATTGAATCTCGTGACATAATACATAGAAACATGATGATGCAATACTTAAATTGGTCTAATTAATGAAAATAATTGCTCATCAACATGTGATGTAATTTACAATTATGCGTACATTAAATGTCGATTTTTTTAACAAAGTTGTTGAATTATATCATCTATGAACAACGTGGGTATTTGTATTTAATTTCGTTTAAATGCATGCAATTCAAATAAAAAATCAAAAATTTCAAATTATATGCAATTTAAAGTACATAATTAGTTAAAACAGCAATGAAATGATCTTTCCACTACATTGGGTGATTGATATTGAACAAAATACATGTTGAACAACTCAACCTGTTTACTTACGATAGTACAGAATTTGTATTATGATCTATTTCAACTAAACTATTAATATGTGAGTTATTATGTAACAATTGCAGATATTTGCCGTCACGAAATGGAGCATATAAAACAGAAAAATACGAACAGAATATACGAACTTGTTTCAATGCAAACATTGATTCGTTGGCGGCAATTTTGAATTGACCTGGTCAAAATATGTGTGACTGAAGTTCAGAACTACTATAAGTGTTCTAATAGAATGAATAATGGTGCATATTTTTGGGCTGTTGCTTGTGTTGCAAGTGTTTGTTAAAATACCGTTCCCACTCTTACACTGAAATGAATGAAAAGAAAAACAAACAAACACTTAAACCTAATCAGCAGCCAACATATACAGCCAAAGTCATTATTACCTGCTTCAGTCGTCTTTTCCCGGGGCGATGTCAGTCTTGTTGTCGTTGTTTGCACATCTTGTACGCTTGTTAAAGGAACTCCTATAATTTGGGGTATGTTGAATGGCGATGTAGTGGTGAGCTCAGATGAATCGTTTAACATGTACAAAACCACACATATTACAATGCTGTCAGCCCATTCAAAACAGTTGATACCCGAAACATGCCTAATCATCTCATTAATTAGCATATCATTTATAATAACTAATGTAAGTAAACGAAGGTATGGAAACAAATGCCCATGAACACGAACGCGTAAAATGAACATCTGATTTTGATTGGGCAATTACCTGTATACTGTTCACCTTCGGTTCTACTGTCACCTCCCTAATAACACATACACATGTTGAAGCGATAGTGTGGGATAACAGAGTTGTAGTTGAGAGGCGTATTTCTTTCGTCGTTCACATTCGGTATAACATGATTTTATTGCATGATACAAATTACGCATCGGGTTATAAGCTACAATTTGTTCCCCATAATTATTGTTACATAGCTCGTTTAATTTAGCGTATGAAGTTTCTGAAATTAGTATAATGATATGGGATTTAATGAGATAGATATAGGTAAACAAGTTAGTACCCTGGTAGAAGACTGCAATCAACGTGGTGTCCCTTTTTTCTGAGTGTCTGTTTCCAAAAATCGCCGGAAACTCAAAATGTTAATAAAGTGCTAAGTTCTTTTTAATTGCAATTTTATTTTTGTATCTGTTCAACAGTACAAAATACAAATGTAGTAGTTTGATTTACCTGTTTCAGTTTTCCTTCCAGTAGGCGGATTTGAACTGTTCATCGGTGGTTTCACTGACTTTGTTGTTGACAAAACTGGCACACTCGTTAACGGAATGTCTATGATTATAGAAAGTAGAACAATTGTTATCGATTTGAGTGAATTGGAATGGAATGGTCAGTGTGGAAAAGTCTAAACACAATAGGATACATTTGTCAACTACGACATTCTAACAACACCTACTCAAACTAATAAATAGGCGTATATGTGTAATTACGTAACATTGGGCTTTGTATGTTGATGCAAATATCTGAAAAGTCAACTGTTGTATTAGTGGTAGTTCAAAAGTTAATAATGACAATAGGATATATTAACCTTTTACAGTCGTCTCTGCATGAGACACAGTTGCTCCGATCGTCTTTTCATCCATTGGTTTGGCAGTTAAAATAACTGGTTCGCTTGTTAATGTCACGTCTATAATTGAGACATCAACTCATCATTTATATTAAGAAATATTGAAATCATGTACCTAAAACAGGTGCACCTTCCCTTATCAAACATTTAGATCTACATAGGACAAAATTGCATTAAACAAGTAAAACAAAATAATTGCCTCCAAAGTTGGTATTATCTCACAGATCAGACATTATGTGCTCAGTCAGTTTTACTTTTGTTATACAGTTCCATGATTCTCCCGCATATTAGCTATTGTTTAGAAATATGCGTAAACGCCAATCATACACGAGTATAGCCTATTCTTCTTTTGCAAAAGAAAGATGTATGGCTAATCTCATTTGCAGTTTACCGTGCACATACTGTCCATTCAGCCGTAAAACATTAAAATTCTCTACCTGAACCAATCAAACATTTTACTAATAGAATAACTTTCAAAATTTCCCTGAAACACCATACACTCAACAATGTACTATAAAATTAATATCTCGTTATTATCAATACAAATAATTTTCGTCATTGTTAATATGTATGATATAAGGAATGTTTGCAACTAAATTGTATATGTACTTGTCCATTATTGTTTTACTCATGATATGATGTGCAGAGTTTTATTTATTTATTTATTTTGGAGGATTATGTTTTGTTTATATATATATAGTCTAGATGTGGGAGTCGATTATTCCAAAGCAAAAGTGCTCAATACAAAATGTATGTAGAGCGAATAAATACGGTAATAGAGGAATTAATACACAAATACATGAATATTGAAACTCGACAGCACTGTTTCGTAAGATACAGTTATCTCACTCATCAGGAGCTTTATGTTTAATAATTCACTGCACCAACGAGCATACATTATAAACTTCGCAAATTAACATACTAATTAAAAACGTACAGGTGTTACATAATAAGGTTTTTGATCTGTGTCGAATTTCTTTCAAACATAGTATACATCGTTTGCTGGAGCTACTGTACGGGCTACCACGAACAAGAATTGTCCATGTTATTCTATGCTCAATATTTATTTTTGTTGAGTGACCAAACATGTTTACTTAGTTTTGTCGCATTTCTAGAGGCCTGATTACGAAATGAGGCAGTGTGGTTTCTGTACCTTGTTCTGAATTCATTTCCAGTGAGCCCGACTTACGTTTCGCTAGTTTGTTTGTCTAATTGCGTAACTTCCGCTTGGTATATCACGCCGGACTGCAAACACTTCCCGACCAGTGGACATGCCGTGTTTTTCGGACAATTGCATAGTTTGTTGACTTTCGTTTTATCAGTTGTGTTACTCTTATCAGTCGCGAGTTGTCGTTTGTTTTTATTCTTTACTTTTATATTGTGCACACAGCTATAGCTGACTTTGATGCTATTTCGGTTGAAAATTTTCCTGAGATTATTGCCAGTCGGGAAGCACTT